TTCGGGATCAGAGCTGACAGATCCCAAGGGAAGCTGGCAATGGGATGCTCAGCCAGTCCTGCCCAGGCTCCCGGGAACTGCTGTTCTGTGCCTTTATCAGCCTCAGAGCAGTTAAATCCCACTGGATAAACCCAGCTCTGCAGCAACCTCGCAAAGGTGTGTTGAAATAAGTTGTTTCATCACCACCTGCTCCGGGGGAGCGGCTCATCCCGGCCCATCCCGGCCACGGATCCATGTTTGTTTAAATGGGAGCAGCATCTCCCTGAGCCTCAGAGCTGCCAAGCACCCTGCATGGCACCCAGAGCACAGGCCCACCACACTGGGGCTTCCTCCTCCTGCCGGGGGCTGCAGCTCCCCTGCTCCCGCCAGGACCATCCCGGGGTCCCCAGCCCGTCCGTCCAGTTCCAGCTCCCCACCAAAGCCAGTCACGTGGAGAAGGTTTGCAAACAAGGCACAATAAACAGCTTCCAAATCACCTCCAAATCGGGGCCCCCCACGAGATTTTTTTTCCTCCTCTACCACCTTAAATTTCTCTTTTGCATCTTTCCGCAGTTTTGCAAGTAATATTCCTTAAAATAATTTTATCACCCTAACTTTTGCCTCTGACAAACACACCTGGAGCCCCCAGCAGAGCCGGGACCAGGTGAAATTTCCTCCAGAGCCACCCTCCACTCCCTGTTTTGCTAAAAAGCCCACGGTTTCGCTGCCAGCCTGGCTGCACGGCCCTGGAGGAGGGACAGCTTCCGCCGGAACACGCTGCCAACGCCGCTGCCAACTCGCCAGGGCAGGAGAGCCGGCGGGAAGTGTCACCCGCGGCACCCGCTCGCTCCACCCCAGGGAACGAACACACTGCAAACACAGCACTGCTTTCTCCTTAAAAAAAAAAATAAAATAGGAGGAAGGATCCCGCACCCAGGCCAAGAGCTCCACTCCCGCCGGGCTCCCTTCCCTGGGCATCCCGGTACCGTTACAGGCAGCCCCTGCCCACGGCACTGTAATCCCTTAATGACTTCCCTCCACTTCCCTGCAGCTCTGTCCCAGATCTAATCTCTGCTCCAGCAGGATCTCTACCAAATAAATCATGGCATGGACGGACGCCCGTCCTTGCCTCTTCCTCGCCGACCTCCGAAGGGATCAGCTCTCCTCCTCTGCTGCTCCTGCCTCTCCGTTCTCCCCTCTCCCTGATGCCATTCCACTTGCAAACACATTTTTGTCACAGGCAGCCGGAGCACCAGCAACATGTTTTACCGTGGAGGCTCGTCTGCACGATGCCAAAAGCAGTTTAAATTAGGAAAAGTTTTTAAAAAAACCCCTCAAGCAGCGCCTCGGCTGGATTTTATACAACAAACACTTGCAGAGGGGGGGGAGGAAAAAATTAGGAAGTTTTTACAGCCGTGCCCAGCCCCACCTTGATCTACAAGTTCTATCTGACTTTAAAAGGTGCAGCACAGGGAGCAGGGGAGGTTTTGCAAGGCGATAAAACGGGTGCAAGCCCAGGAGCCAGCACTGGCCACAGCCCCACGGCGGCTCGAGGGGCCGGGGGCCACCCCAAGGGTCACCAGCCAGCGATGGCCCTGCTCCTGGGGTTATTGTTGAGCCAGCAGCTACCCCCGAGGTACAGTCAGGTGCATCGGGAGCTCCAGAAGTGGCTCACAGAGGACTTTTACACCTTCCGAGGCAAACACATGGAATTCCAAGCTCCGAGTGCACTCACGGTTTTATTCTCCCCATTTTTCCTTCCCTCTCCCACTAACAGAGCTCATCCCTCCATAGGGAAGATGCCCATGGAACATCCCTCTGGGGGAGGACTGAGCCCCCCAGCCCATGGAATCCCAGTGCCCGTGCTGGAGGAGCTGGAAATCAAAGAGGACGGGACAGGAAATTTCCAGTTTCCACTTCCAGAAGCGGCAGGTGACGCTGAGGCAGCTGAAGGGTCATTTCGGGAGTGGAGGATAAACTCAGGGTGGCCCCCCAGGAGGAGATGGGAGCCCCCCCTGCACCCAGGGAGACGCTGAGATGCCAGGCACAGGGACCATCCCCTCAAGACCCCCACAAACCACCTGCCAGCCAAAATGCAGGGCTCTCCCAGGCTTCAAACCCTCCATGGGGAACAGGGATGGAGCGGCAAAACCACCCCAGCTCTCCCTTCCAGAAAACAGGGAGTTCTCCCAAATACTTCAGGCTCCCAAAGCCGCCTGTGCAGCGGGGAATGCGGCGCAAAGGGCCATAAATGTGCATTAATTCCAAACGCGGGGACCTCCGGGCTCTCCCGCCTTTCTCCGGTGGGAAGAATGAGCCGGTTCCCGGCCGGGGGCACCGCCTGCCCCCCACCTTGCTGCTACAAAGGCCAGCCCAGCACCGCACCTCTCCTCCTCCGGCCCCGCTCCCCCCGGCCCCGCTCCCCGCCGGACCCACAAGAAAGGAGAAAAGGCAAGGGGGGGGAATAAAATAAAAGAAGAGAAAACCCTGAAAGCCGGAGCCCGGCCCCCCTCCCAGCCCCACAGCGAGACACAAACATCAGCAGACTCAAAGCATCCCCCTCGCCAGCGGCGGAAAAGAAAAGCTCCCGGGCTCTCCGGGCAGCAACTTCACAACTGAGTGCACTCGCATTCCTGCCGGGTTATTAGGAGAGAAAGGCCGAGGGCCCGAGGAGATATTTTAGTGTCACTTGATTTTATACATTGCACAGATTTATTTTTTTCCCCCTCAAACACTCCCTGCTCTTCGCTTTCCAAAGGGGACGTAAAACCTACGGCCACCCGGCTTCCAGGGAAGAGAGCAGGGTTGGGCACAGCATTTACAGATATTTTCAATATCATCTTTCTCCAGGGCCGAGAGCAGCCCCCTCCCCGCCTCCCCCAGCAGCAACTTTAATCCGTTTTATTTTATTTCGCTCTGTTTGCTCAGCCTTCCCCCTCTGCCCACAGACCCCCATCCTCCCCTCGCCTTCCCTGACCCCGCTGGGCGACACATCCTGGGCTGCACGGGTTAAGGGGGGGCTTTTCCACACCGACCCCGACCTCCTGCACTTTTCCCCCCACCAAACCCAACTTCGTGCTGTGCGACGGGGCCGCCTTGGCTTTCATCAGCGGAGCGATGCTCGGTCCGGCTGGGAGCGGAGCCACCCCCGTCCCCACCACGAGCACCCCAGGAAGAGGGGCTTGGGATGGGGGGGACCCACAACAAAAAACCCCACGGCAACTAATAAATTAAAATTAAAAATGTAACTGAACAGGGAGCATCTCGAATCGGGAGCTCCCGAGCGTCCTTTCGGAGCAGAGGCAGCGGGAGGGCTCCAGGCTCTTCCCCACAGCCCCCAGCCCCGCTCCACAAAGGGCAGGAGAACGGCAGGAGCTGGAGCCTCCCAGGGCTCCAAGCCCTGACAAAGCTCCCAGGTTCGGCACAGGGAATTCTGTCCCTTCCCCCTCCACATTTTCCCCCTTCCCAGTTTGAATTAAGCGACCTGAAGGAGAAAAAAGAAAAATAAATAAAAAGGGGGAGAATGAGGCAATTTTTCCAAATCTGATTATTTTCTCCATCTACCCAACCCTGGAGCCTGTTAATTTTTTTTGGTGTTTTTTTTTGGATGGACTTTAAGGTGGGGTGGAAATTAAAAAAAATTAAACCCACTTAATTTAGAGTTAAATTTCACAAAACCCTGAGACTTTGCTGTGTTTAATTGAGGATACAGGGAGGCATGAAAGGGAACACGTCCCCGCCAACACCCGGGACCGGGTCACACCGCCTGCGCCAGACACATGTTGGGTTGATTTAACATCAAATCCCTGCTCTCCACAGAACGTATTTCTCGTGTAAATTTTTAACACACCAGAAGAAATTTGTAAAAGTAAATCCTCCTTCTGGTTTGGGTTAAAAACAACCCAACCTTTTAATACAGAAACTAATAACAATTTTATTGTCTGCCCCACAGCTTTACAGTGCTCGTGGAAAAGTGAGGTCTTAATCCAATGGAAGTTGGTTTGGAGGGTGGGGAAAGGCAAATCTTGGGGTATCAACTGATGGGGAGGGAAGAGCTGCCTGAAGCCAAGGAGCAATCCTGGGCAGGAATTTGGACACAAATTCCTCCAGGACTATATTAAGAGCAGTAAAAAAACCAAAAACCAATCCCAGTGCAAGTTTTCCAAGCGGGCACCTCCCGACCACGACTCCCAACGAAGTGGGGTTCACAGGCGCCTGCGAATTATTCCCACTTTCTCCTCTGCACATTTTTCATTTGTATTAAAAAGTGCACAGGAGGGAGAGAGGGAGAGACTCGGCCCTTGGCTTGTTTCTGTTTTAAAAGGGGAAAGAAAAAACAGAATCACTCCCAAATGGAAAAAGAAAACCCAATTACGCTCCACTTGTTCTCTCCCATCCACACCTCCGAACGCGCCTGCCAACTCAAACCAGATTTCCTACACCAAAAGAAATATCCAGAGCCATCCGCTGCGAACGCGGCACTTCCCCAAGTGCCTTTTCTCCTTGAGAGGGGGAGAGGGGAGAGGAGACAGAGGCGCGTTTGTTTATCCCGCGGACCAGGGAGAGGGAGCCGGGAAGAAAAGAAATATCTGAACTTTGCCAGCGCCGGGAGAGCATCTCACAACGACGGCGGACACCGGGGTGGGAAGGGGATGGAAGAGGCTGGTCTGGGGCTCCAGGTGACCCACCACCAGCTCTGCCACATGCTATTTGCCCGGGAATTTCTGAACTCCCAGAAGACGACGCTCCGTAATAAAAACTCCTTCCGAGCCCATTATTGTTGCCGATGCCACGAGCAGCCGCTGCCGGCGGCGTCCCAGCCAGCCCGCCCCGAGCTCCCGCAGCACCGGGCATCGTGTCCGGTTAGAGGGACCCCCAAGCCCCTGGAAAACCCCCCCAACTTCGCTCCCTGTCCAAACAAAGACACATCGAACCCTCGCAAACTTTACAAGCGGGCAGAACACAGGCACGGGTGAACCGCGGGGCAGCCGGGCTGCCGTCACCCCCTCCGGAATCCAAACCTGCGGGGATTTCTCGGGAATATTCTCCAGCTCCATCCGAAGCCGTGCCTTGTCCTCCTCTCCCTCACCTTGCAGTCTGGGTTACGCTTTTGGACACGGCGATGGATTTTCCCAGGGCGCTGCGGGAGCGACGGCCGGGCTGGCTGCAGGTTGTCGGGAACGGCGGCGGCTCCTTCTCCCAGGAATTGCAAAACTTGGGGCAGACTTAGGGATTCCTCTCCAAGAAGGGAATCGCACCCCCGGGCCCGAGGAGCGGCGGGTTGACGCTGAGTTAAAATGCGATGGTGGGGAAAAAGAGTAGGGGGGGAAAAACCCACCCGAGCCCTCCAGCAGCCGGAATTAAACCAAAACTGCCGGAGAGAAAGGAAAGACGGGGGGAAAATGGGAAGCACCAACAAAGGGAGCGCCGGGGCGGCCGCAGGGCAGGGGCGGCCGGGCCCCCCCGGTGCGCAGCCCCCTCGGGGGGTGCGGGACCCCCAAAGCGCCGGAGCGGAGGCGGGTCTGGATCCGGCACCGGCAGCGCGGCTCTGCCGGCGGCAGCGCAAGTTTCCCGGTGCCCGACCCTCCCTCGCCGAGGGGGCTGCGACCCCCCCTCCCCTCCGCCGGCCGCCGAAACGCCTCGGGGGCGGCGGCGACCCCCGCGCCCGCCCCGAGCCGGGGCCGCAGCGGGGACCCCGCGCGCTCCGGGACCCCCACGCACCTCGGGGCGCGCCGAGCCCGGGGACCCCCGGGACACCCGCGGTCCCCCCGGGGACCGCCCACAGCCCCGTGCGCACCGAGCCCCGGCCCCTCCGAGCCCCGGCCCCCCCGGCTCGCCCAGCCCCGGCCCTGCTCCCTTTGTCCGGGCGCCGCAACAAACTTCCGAGCGCGGCGCGGCCGAGCGCGGGGACGGACCCGCCGGGCGGGCGGGGTGGAGGGGACACGGGGCACGGCCGGAGCCCCCCGCACCTGCCCGGGGGGGCCCGTCCCGCGCCCCCCTCCGCCGGCAGCCGCGCGGGGACACGCGCGGACCCTCCCGCGCCCCGCTCGCACCCACCTGGTCGCGCCGAGCGCCGCGCTCCGGGGCGGGCATGAGCCGCGCTTCTCCTCCTCCTCCTCCTCTTCCTCCTCCCCCCCGCACCGGCACCTTCCCCAAACTTCGACGGGGCGGGCGCGGCGCGGCCGGAGCTCAGGAGCGGCGCGGCATGGCGGGGGGGCTCCGTGCGGCGCGGGGGCCGTGCTGCGGAGCGGGGCCGTGCTGCAGAGCGGGGCCGTGCTGCGGAGCAGGGCCGTGCGGGGGCGCGGGCGGCGGGGCCGTGGCCGCGCTCAGGTCCCGCTCGGCGCGGCGGCGGCGCGGGCGCGGCGGCGCGGGGCGGGCGCCGGCCGCCCTACCATAGTTCCTCTAAAGCAGGTGCAGCCGCTTTCCCCGCCCGGCCCCCGCCCGAGCCTCCTCCCCCGCCGGGAGGGGAGCCCCGCTAGCTGGGGGTTTTATTTTGGGGGTGGTAGGAGATGTCATCACCGCCTAGAACCTCCCCCGCGCCGTTCTGTGCCCCCTCCCTCCCGCCGCGTTTTGCTCATTAATGCCTGCGCTAATTGGTTTCTGCTGCGTTTGGTCCCCGGAGCGCAGCGGAGTCCTGGGCCGGGCGGGGGGTTCGCTGGAGGGAAACTGAGGCACGGGCGAGTGGGATGCTGCTGGGGTGCTGGGGCGGGGGCGGGGGGACCCACCTCCACCCACAACGTGGAAGCACAGAATCATTTAGGTGGGAAAACACCTCGGAGATCATCGAGTCCGACACACGTGGCATAGCCAGGACAGACACACCGACCCCGTTTTACAGATGGAAACAGCGAGACGCTGAGCTGGTGACCCCAACAGTCCCAGCCCGGCCCTGTGACACCCTAAAGTCCCAACCCACAGCAGGGAGAGGGTCCCCAGAGCTCCTGGGGGATGCAGAGCCTTGTCAGGGTGCTGGACCCAAACCTGCACCCAAATGCTGAGTACAAACCCTCACCCAGGTGCTGGTCCCAAACCCTCACCCAGGGCTGGGGCTGCCCCTGTGCAGGTCAGGGTGACACAGCCAGTGCACAGGAGGGAGCAGCGCTCTGGCCCTGCCTCTGTGCCTGGATGGGAACAGTTCAGGAGCTGAATTCCCACCTGCCACAGCCACCTGCGTGGGTTGGGGACAGATGGTCCCCCTCCCACGGGGAAGGAGTGGAATGAAGTTTTCCAAAGCCAGTTACATTTCAACAGCACCAAAGTGTGGCCACTCTCTGTTCTCCTGTTTTTATTTTAAAAGTAACTCTTTTGAAATTTCCATTTTATGGGCAGATAAAATAGTTTTAGAAGATGAAATTGGAATGAAAAGTATTTTAACCCACCTGGATTTTTTTTCTCTTTTTTTTTTTTTTACCTGTAATTTAATTTTTTACAGGAAGACTGCTTGCCTCTTTTTCTTTTCTTTTCTTTTTTTTTTTTTTAAATCTATTAGTGAATTAAAAACTTGGTGATTTCTGTGAGATGGAAAAGCTGGTTTTCCCCAACTGTGAGATCTGGTGGCCCCAGCAAAGAACCCATTGGTTTTGACCCCCAAAAGTCTTCACCCAAGGGGACAAATAGGAAGAGGGCAAGCAGCAGTCTGGCTCTTAGGCTGCTCTGAGCCTTAAAGCCAGGTCTTAACCCAGTCCTGTTGGAGGTCCAGGATTTTCCAGAGGGGTTGGCCCCTCTGGGGAGTCTCTGCTGCACCCACCTCTGCAGAAGCAGGTCCTGGTGGCAGGAGCCCGACCTTCTTGGAAAGGGCCCCAGGCCCCGTTTCCCGGAATGGCGGTGCCCCGGTGCTGAGGCTCCGCTTCCTGCCACCACCTTCTTTGGGGAGGGACAGCGTTCCCCTCTCCCTCACCATCACAAACCAGATGAGAACCTCTTTAGCCACCCCCAGCCCTGATTGCAGTTGACCCCTTGGATTCGTGGCCAGGATGGTGGAGCTGGGCTAGCTCTGCATCCCAGAGTGTCGCCCCTGGGACACCTTCCACTGGACCAGGTTACTCCATGCCCTGTCCAACCCGGCCTTGAACACTTCCAGGGATGGAGCAGCCACCTCCTGTCACCCTCTTCCCTTGTCCAAAGTCCCTCTCCAGCTCTCTTGGAGCCCATTTAGACACTGGAAGGGTCTCTAAGGTCTCCCCAGAGCCTTCCCTTCTCCAGGCTGGACACCCCCAAGCAGAGGGGCTCCAGCTCTTAGATCAATCCTTTTTGGCTCAATCCTTCCTGTGCTCAGGATTTGGAGGTACAGGACACCCCAACCCATTTTAGGGGGTTCCCACATGGGAAGCACAGTGGATTCAATCCCCCCAGTTCAGCCCAGATCCCTCCTGGCACATTACAAACCCAGGGAGTGTTGGGAGCTCCCAGACCTTTATGAGTTATCCACCCATTTATCAGTCTATGAAAAACGGAATATATATTTTTTTTAATCCCAAACTGGCACTTTTGTGAGTGAAAAAATATCTTTGAGTGCCGAGCCTCATCCAACCTGCGCTTGCCCTCTTTTCCTGACATAAGAAGAGCCCCTTTGAAGACATCAAATATCACCTGAGCGGGAAGGATCCGCACAAAAAGAGATGGGCAGCCTTCCACCGAGGGGAGTTGGTGAAACGAGCGTGGCCCAAAGATCCCTCTTTGTTCATCTGTGTCAGTCTGGAAATGAAAGAGAGGAGGGAGGAGGAAACTGGGTGAGGAGACTGGGATGGAGCAGGTTCAGTCAGGGTTTGTACAGCACTTTGCTCAGTGGAGTCTGGTCTCTGAGGATCCACCTTGCTCCTGGAGAGCCCACAGGGACATCAGGGATGCTGCAGGAGGAGGAGATTCCCAGGGAGGCAACAGCAAGAGGGACTAAGGTGCTCCTGCAGCAGTGCTGAGCTCCCAAAAGAGAGAGAGAGAGGGAAAGGGAAGGGAAAAAAACTTCCTTTTGTTCTGCACTAGGCAAAGCCTCGGGCATGGATCACTTCCAAAGGGTCCAAGGAGGCAGGAGGATTTATAGCTCTGGGATTAAACACTTTGCATAGATATAAAGCACTGGGCCACGTGGCCAGAGCAGCAGAGTCAGGGTGGGGTGAGGGACGAGTCCCAAACACAGTGTCCTTCAGCTCTTCTAGGAAAACTCCACCTTCCACCTCCCACCTCTTCCCAGCTCATCCTCACTCTGTGCCTCTGGGATCCATCCTCAGACTCTGAACTGTGGGAAACTCGGTTTTTTTCTAACAAAGTTGGTTTTCTTCCTCCTCCAGAAAGTGTCTGATCTTGTAAGCAGAATATTGAAAACCTTTAAAAAGTGAAAATTTTAAACTAATCCCATGTTTTCCTGCAGTGGGAACAATCCCAGTTTGGCATAAGGTTGACAGGAAGATGAAATCTTCCATGGAGAAGGTCAAATTGGGTTTGTCCTGAATCCCATCCAAGGCAAAGCAGCTCTGAATCAGGCAGCATCCTCATCCTTCCAGGAAAGTCCTCTCCAAGATGAATCCAAAGCCCGCCACCACAGGTTATGGATTGGCATTTCTGGCAAATGGGTGGTGAAGAACATCTCCTTTGGTTTCTATTTTTTCCTCTATGGGAAGAATAACTTCAGAAACAAAATCTGACTTCTCTGAAGATGCTCATCTGAAAAATCTGTATTTGATGATGGAAACAAGTCCCCTGAATTCCTCTGCTTCCTACCTTGTCTTGGATTCTCTCGCTCCTTCTTTCAAGGCAAAACCAGGAAAAAAAGCATGTGGAAAGATAAGAAAGCAGGGAATTTGGGATGGGAAAATAGGCAGAAAATGAGGGAAGAAAGTTACCTTTTCCCTTTCAGAGCAGTGTTTTGGGCACGGAGCTGTGCAGTTGACACAGCTAACCCCCAAATTCCCATCCTCTCCAAGGTGGGAATTCCAACAGATGAGCAGCAAAGCCGGTTTTCCACCCAAGTTACTCCAGCCATTGCCGTGCCCGTGGAGCTGCGGTGCCCACGGCTCGGCCCTCTGCCCGCCCCCTCCCCTGGCCGGGGGTCCGGGGCTGACCCCGGGGCTCCTCCCGAGCATCGCCCTCGGACGGGCGAGCGGAGCAGGGAGCGGGACCAGCCCTGCCCGGGGCAAACCCGCAGCCCTGGGCGCAGCATCCTCAGCCGGCACAGGGCTGGGGATGCCGGGGGTCCCGCGCAGACCCCCCGAGGGAGGTGCCAGGCCCGGGGGCTGCCGAGCACACGGAGCAATCCGGCTCTGCCCGGACGTGCTGGCGGGGCCGCGGCCGCGGCGGAGCTCTTGGACCCCGCTCGCCTCTTGCGTAAAGCCAAGCGATGATGCACCGAGTTCCTGTAAGTGATGAGCGGCTCCTGGCTCCCTGTTAAAGCCAC